TCCGTGAGAAAATTTTGGTGGACCACAGAAAAATTATTTGCATTTTTTATATTGCACTAAATCAGGGGTCCTCAAACTACGCCCCCTGGGACGAATACATGCAATGAACGTTTTGTTGCTGCAGAGTCTCTCCCTCTTTGGGGTCTTTTTGTGCAGGTCGGAAGGGGGAAGAAATTCCAACTTGGGGTCTGCTTCGGCCTCCTGGTGAGGGGCTTTGGGTGAAGGCTGGAGGGAAGCACCGCTGGTGGAGAAAATCTGGAAGGCCTCGTTCCAATGGGGACTGCATCATGGCCTGCAATTGGCTGACCATCTCAGCTCACTGAGCCTCCAGGCGCCGGTACCTGGCCTTGTACTTTTGCAGGTCTTCCCTCTGCTTGGACAGCCTATGTTCGTATTCCTCAGTGAGGTGCTTCTGCTGAGCCTCCTTCTCGGTCAGATCCAATTTGAACTGAGCTGTTTTGCCAACTCTTTCTCATGGGGGCTACTTAGCTCCAACAACTGCTTCCTAAGGAGCCCAGGCGGGCAGGCAAGGAGTGGCTGGGAGGGGAGGGATGAGTAGAGGCCGTCGAGGTGCCCCTCGACATGAGTGACATCAAGTTGGCCACACCCACCCAGTCATGTGACCACCTAGCCATGCCCACCCAGCCAGTCATTAGGCAGATCATATTAGTGTTCTAGAGTAAAGAAAAGGCAAAATCTTGAATGGTGATTTCCCCCTCCCCTCCAATTTTTCTCCCCAATACAGGTAGTCCTTGACTTACAACAATTTATTTAGTGACTATTCAAAGTTAACAGTACTGAAAAAAGTGACTTATGACTGTTTGTCACACTTAAAGGCATTGTAGCGTCTCTACATGATCCAAATTCAGACCCTTGGCAACTGACTCATATTTATGACGGTTGCCGTGTCCCAGGGACACAGGATCCCCTTTGGCAACCTTCTGACAAGCAACATTCGTGAGGAAGTCAGATCTACTTAACAACCCTTTGACTACCCTAACAACTGTAGTGATTCACTTAGCAACTGCGGCAAGAAAGGTCGTAAAATTGGGGCAAATTTGACTTAACAACTGTCTCAGTAGCAGGAATTTTGGACTTAATTGTGGTCAAATGCTACCTGTACATGTTTTGACAAGGACTGTTAGGTTTAAAGCTTCACAAAGCCTGGGATGATCGAATTGTGTGATTAGATTTTGTGATAGGACACCGATAGCTCTGGGATACAAAATGGTGCTTAATTAACCATCCCCTTATGGTTATTTTATGTTTCTCCTATCATCCTGATATTTGCAGATACCTAAAAAGAGAGAAAAGTTTTAAAACATATCCCACAACCTATAGTTTCTTTTCAAAAGCTGTGGTTATGAAATCTGAAGTCCAGAAGACATTGCGTTGTGTATTAAAACCTAGCTGATAACCCGGCGTTGCCTGGGTATTTATTTGTAAGGGGAAAATGGAGTACTGTGAAGCCAATGGCAACTCCGCTGAGCAGTACAGTAGAAGCCAGTATAGCACAACAGGCTGTATCTTAACAGATCATACACCCTGAGAGATGTTAGGGGTGTCTTACCCCCCATAATATTTTTCTCCAGAGGATAAGTCATCTGTATACCAAGTTTGGTTGAAATCGCTCAAGGTATTCCAGAGTGTATGCAGGAACACACATACACATACACAGAGAGGGTGGGGGGAGAGAGAAAGAGAGGTATTTTTATATATATAGAAGAAGATGAACCGCTGCAGGAACATAAGATTTGATCCCAGGAATTCAGAGGTCTGGCTTCTG